GCACTCGGGCGGGCCCAGGAAGAGTACACATTCTTCCAGGGCGCTCTCGGAGCTCCCCACAGCGTTCTGGAGCGGCCGCGGCGAACGATGCATTCTGGAGATTCGTTGGATCTGGGAGATTTGCGCTTTATCCCAGTCCGACTTTGTCCGCGTCGTGACTGCATTGCATTGCATCACCGACATTATCGCGTGTGTCCTTGTTGTGCTGTGCCAGACGCGGGGGAGGGGACAGGCGGCGCGCTCACGACGTACGACGTGACGACGACGAATACGACGACGACGACGGCGGTGGCGGCGGCGGCGACTACGACGACGACGAGGACGACGAGGACGAGGACGACGACGACGACGACGACGACGACGATGACAAGGACGACGAGGAGGACGACGAGGACGACGCGTACGATCACGACGACGACGACAACGACGACGACGACAACGACGTCGACGGGTCGGGGCCAGTCACGGGCGCTATCGCGAACAGTGAGGACGAGCTCCTCTTGGAGGCCCCCGAGGGCCTCACCGTCGGGCGCGGGAGGGGCGCGGCAGGCCTGGGCTTTGCAGGCTGCCCCGGCTGGCGGGGCAGGCCGCCCTCTCCCCTGCCTTGGGCCGGTGGTGGTGTATTGCTGGGAGCTCTCCTGGCCAGGGGTAGGGGGAGAGGGGAAGCCTTCTTCGAAGCACCCTTGCTTCTCAGAAGGCGGGCCTTGTCTGTAGATGGCAGGGCGGCGCCTTCCAAGAAGCAGCCTCCTTCTAAGAAGTCTTCCCCCCTCCCCCCTCCCCTTTTGTACGCGCCGCCAACCAGCTCCGCCGCTCTCCGCTTCCTGTGGCGGCCCAGTGGTTTTTGTTCTGCGGCCACCAGCGAACCCTACCTCTATGGGTCCACTTGCCGCTCGGGTAGCGGACCACCCCTCTGGGGTTCACTTGGCTGCAGGCATCCTTTGCACTCAGAAGGGTAGGATTCGCGTGGGTACCCTGCTCAGAGGAGGAACATGTACGGATTCCGCTGTCCTTGCCTCGCTTTCGCCTCTCAGGGTCTTTTGGAAGGCATTCGTCGCCACAGGTGAACTCGCCCCGAGTTTCAAGTCAGAACGCACCGGGGAGATGCCCAGGGAGGGCGCCGCGGCCTTCATTGTCCACGCTTGCGCCCGCCATGTTTGGGCCCGAGGTCGTTTTCACTAAACCTCGCTTTACTAAAGGAGGTTCCGTCCATCCCCGAGTGCCTTCGTGCCTCCCCATCTTGCGGTCCATGCGCCAGTGTCTTGAAATCCGTTGGGTCGGACAGGCGAGGCGTGCGCCTCGCACGTGTTTTTTGACAGGAGACGGCTCGTGGTGCCCAGACTCAGCCCAGCGCGTGCCCTCTCTTGCGCTATGCACTGTGACTTGCCAGAGGCTGTGTGAGGAGGACAAGGGTGAGGAGGAGGACGAGGAGCATGGCTGGGGGCAGGCAGAGGGGGACGAGGAGGGACGATAAAGAGAATGAGGAGACGGAGGAACGGGATGATGATGAGGATGAGGATGAGGAGGATGAGGATGAGGATGATGACGATGATGACGATGATGACGATGACGGAGATGAGAACGAGGACAAGGGTGAACATGAGGATGTGGACTGGGGGGCGGTGCTGATGATGATGAAGATGCTAATGATGATGATGCTGCTGATGATGATGATGCTGATTACGATGCTGCTGTTGATGATGATGCTGATGATGATGCTGATGATGATTGTGATGCTGATGATGCCGACGAGGACGAGGACGAGGAAGCTGATGGTGATTACGATGCTGATGATGCTGATGGTGATTGCGATGCTGATGATGACGATGCTGCTGCTGATGGTGATGATGATGATGATGATGGTAGTGGTGGTGATGCTGATGCTGAGGATATTGATGATGAGGATGCTGCTGCTGCTGATGATACTGAGGATATTGATGATGAGGATGCTGCTGGTGATGAGGATGATGATGCTGCTGATGAATTTGATGATGCTGCTGCTGATGAGGTTGATGATGATGATGATGATGCTGATGATGATGATGATGATGATGCTGATACTGATACTGATGATGATGCTGCTGCTGATTATGATGATGATGATGCTGATAATGATGATGATGCTGCTGATTATGATGATGCTGCTGATGATGCCGATGATGATGATGATGATGATGATGATGATGATGATGATGATGATGATGATGATGATGATGATGGTGATGATGATGATGATGATGATGATGATGATGATGATGATGATGATGGTGATGATGATGCTGATGACGACGATGCGGAGTAGGATGAGGAGGATAAGGGGGAGAAGGAGGAGAGAGAGGAAGAAGAGGATGATGATGCTCATGGTCATGACGTTGCATGATATGAGTGATACAGCTGCTGCTGAGGCTGCTCAGGATGCTGCTGCTGACGATGATGTTTATGTGATTTGCTGTTGGCGATGACCACGGTGATGATCGTGCTGCTACCATTGTTGTGGATGTTG